TGGTTATGACTATTCCAAAGGTTTCTAGAAGAACACTGTTGAACTGGGTCTAGCTCATTCCTGTGAATGGTCTGAACTTGTTTTTGCCTTCATGAATGGGAAGATGCGAATCTCCCAAAGTTCATGATTTTGCTGTTCTCCATTATCTGCACAAAATTAAGCTGGTTATTTCTTTTTCTAAAATAAATTTTCCTACTTAACCAATCTGCTAACCTATTATCACTCCCCTTAATATGTTCAAATTCTACTTTATATTCTTGTCCTATATGTGCGTCTTAAAAATTTTGCCCATCTTCTGGTACTTAATTTGCGTTCGTTAAGTTTATTATGAAATCTAACTATAGCTCACAGTCTGTCCTAATTGTAAAGGGTTGTTCAAAAATAATCTAAATTTGTTTATTGCATATACTACTCCTAATATCTCAAAATCTAGGCTGGTCGTTGATTGTATCTTTTTCTTTAAATTTCAGAGCTATATCTACAAATGCGTTCTTTATTTCTACTATCATACTTGCTAGTTTAGCTAATAATACCGTTCCCCATCCTAACTGACTTGCATCTGTCTCTACTACTATATATTCTGATTCATAAGGGAAGTTGTAGGTGGGTTAAGTTTCTACAAATGTCTTTTATTTTTCTACTAAAGCTATATCTTGTTGATTTGAAATGTTTCTGCCCTGTAGGTGTAGTTTTACTGTATAAGGGTCCTATTTATTTTACTAAGGTTGGAATGTACAATTCGGGCATAATTTAAAATTCCTAAAAATGATTGGAGTTGTTTTGTATCTTCTAATTTATTGGGATAATCTAAAATTTTCTTAACTATGTGAGGTTGCAACCTTAATTTTTCCATCTCCTACTCCATTCCTAAAAATTCTATATGAGGTTATTTAATACCATTTTCCTCTTACTAATTATTATTCCATTATTTATGAATCTTCTAATACTATATATAAATGATCTATGTGACTATTTTATTTGGACTGAATACTAATTGTCATCTATGTTACTGTACGGGAAAGAAATAAACCTCTCGTATAATCCTTTGATCAAGTCTGCGCTCCTCCGTATGACATCGCTTTATCACCTGAAAACACAAATGGAGCTAGCCGGCGGGTGTGTGCCGGAAACCTCTCCGATGCCTAAGTCAGTAAGCTTGACAATAGACAAAAGCTCTGTGTATTCAGAAAACAAAGTTGTGTGTTACCCTCCAAAGATGATGTTTGTGAGCTTTTATAGTTTCGTGTAGCACAATCCTAGTAGGACTTTTACTTCTCCATGCAGAGTCCTCCTAGGATTCATACTCTGAAAAGATAATGCTTATCCTTCAACACCCCCTCACTGCTTAAACCAAGTGAGATGGTTTCTACCATGGTAGGTTTCTAATGGACTGAGGTAATCATGGCTATGTTGAGCCGCAGAGTAGGCCGAACTATCCTTAGTTCGGTTCTTCCTTTCACTACACCTTATCTCGGTTCTTCATGTACAAACCTTGGTGTGATTAGACCGAGCTGCCGAATAGTAAGGTTCTGACCGTTCTAACCACCAATATGGTTCTGACCGTTCTAACCACAATACGCCATGACCGGGCTAACTTTAAGGCGGACTAACTTCAAAGCGTCTTTAGACCAGACTAACTTCAAGTCTCCTCCGGACCGGACTAGCTTCGGGGCTCTAGGACCGGACTAACTTCAAAGCCTTTTTACTCAGCCCTTCGTATTGTGGCCCATGACGGCCCATTACCCAGCTCGGCCCAATTTTCATATAAATTACCTCTCAATTGCCCCCTTAATTCCATCTGCGTAGCATGATAAGGATTACCTGTTTTATCAGCCGAGCTAAGGTTTTTAAGCCTTTCCAGGCGAGCTAAAACCCTTTAACTTTTCCAATCGAGCTAAAACCCTTTTAGCCTATCCAACCGAGCTAAATTCACGCCAGGGCTCTAGCTGTTCGGTCAAACGTCTCTTCAATCACAGCAACTGAATCGGTTCTTATTCCAATGACACGTGGCAGACGCTGATTGGCTCAATACAGCTGTATTATAGGATTCTACAGGTTCAGTGGCAAAAATAAAATAAAATTATTAGTGACCAACATCATACTAACTTATAATCAAGATAAATATTGGCACGAGTCATATCAAAAAGGCTCCTTAGTTGTTGTCCTTCCCACAGTTTTGTTTAGGCTTCAAACTTATTGTACTTGTTTACCCAATCAATAGGAACATCATCAATTAGACAATTACCCAACATCTTAATGCATATAAATCTACAACTTAAAACATACTATTTTTCCTCCCTTCTTTTTCCCTTTTGAAATAGCGAGGGGGAAAAAAAAAACATACCCAACAAGTTCAACAATTCATATTCAATTAGCATATAATTGCAACAAACCCAAACAAATTTATTATATTATCAATATCCAGAGGGAGAAAATAGTTAAAGATATGAATGAAGAAAATGCCTTTCTTTCTTGGCTATCTGCACAAGTAGTCAATAACAGGACCACCCATGTGTAGCAGCTTGAAAAAAAAGGAAACTCAGAGAACATACCAAGATGAAAGTTTATCAATTTACATGGGAACTACACCGAAATCATTATTAGGAGAGTTAGAAAGTAAGAAATGCCAAAATGGGATTCCAAAAAAAGGAAAAACAATGGACTAAAGAGAGACAAAGCAGATATGATATTACCAAAAACAAAATCACAGATTTGAAGCTCAAATAACAAACAATCAACAATCAAATTAAATTTCATAAATACAATCATATACATACATACACACACACACACACATATATATATATATATATGCAATTTGTATAGATCAAAAAGAAAGTAGAGAAACGAAACATACCTTGAAGATCGGCGATCTCACGGTGACAGTGAGGAACAGAACGGAGCTCAAGAGGAGAATCAAACAACAGAACAGCAATTTCTGAACATCATGAGCGGCAATTTCTGAAGGCACATGCACAAATACCTTCTGGCTTTTCTGAGTAGCATTCTGCAAACATATCCAACTGTCAGATAAACTTCCAAGCAGATTTGGAGACATTCTGCTGGGAATGACAAGCTTTAACCATTAAAGCATCTCAGTTAAGTCAGTCATGCATTAGTAATTACCACGTAAATCACTGAATGATTAAAAATTATGATTGAAATGAAAAACTAGATGGTTATTTTACCTCTTTAACCTCTTCAACAGCATAGTAAGCTTTAGTTGGAATTCCCATCTCCTTAGGCTCGACATCAATTATGACCAAGACAGGATTGGGAACGTAGCTGCAATACCACCAGTAAAAATTGCACAAAAGTGCAAGAAGGCCAAGAAATTATTATAGACAACAAAGTGAATTCTAAAGGTAAAACAAACATTCAATTTGCGAAGAGACATGTTATACATATTGTTGCTTTCAAAATGCTACATGCCACCATAAAAGCCTGTTTCCCTTGATAATCCACGGACAAAATTGAGAGATATGGTGCCAAGATGACAGATACATGACCAGCTTGTAAGAGAGTTTATTGTGGGACAAACCACAATACACATTGGGTAAGGCTTGTGATTAGACAGCTGATTAGAAGTCATTATGGACCAAATCATCATAGGGATAAGTGATGTGCCTTGGAACCAAATATTCAAGAACCTTCTGGAAATGGTATAAAAAATCGATGATTCTAAATGGGAGTACATAATGATACTCTTCCATTAACCAAACAAATAAATAAACAAACAAACATAAAGGAACAAATCGAGCAGACATAGTGAATAAATTCAAGGCAGACATAGTGAGAAAATAGCATAAATCTTCAGTTTGACAACATGTTTTCTTACCACATTTTGAAAAAATCAAATTCATATTCATTTAGAGAATAATAAGACGAGAGCTACTTTCTGATATACATAACAAAATTTTTTATGGGTCACAGATACTAAATACTTATTTCGGCATACCCTGACGAAATCAAATTGGTCCAACTTTTTTAGAAGACTTGCCATTTCAAATTTTGCTTCATTGTTAAAGTCAAAAAAAAATTATAGAAAGACACAGGAAGGAAAAGAGAATCTGGAAAGAAAAGGAAAGAAGAGCAGAGACAGGCAACTGTAATATCTAAAAGTTTAAAAATTATCAATACAAAAGACGAGATTCGAAAATTATTTATTGTTTAAAAAGTTTGAAAATTATCAGCACAGCAAAGTTTGAAAATTCCATATCTCCAGATAAGAGGAGGTTCCATTTGTTTGACAAATAACAGATGCAAATCAGCCTTAAACTTTATTAACTTGCGCCTCTGAAATGCATTAAGCCACTGCTAACATATCAAATCGCAAACAAAGGGACTGAAATGTAATCAAAACAACATTTAAACAATTGAGATATTTAAGCACAACAAAAAGTAAAGTTGCAATAGAAATGATGATATGACACACAATCTGACCTCACATCCAACCCTAGGAGGAGATTCAAGACTGTAAACCCTAGGAGAAGAATCAGCGGAATGAAGATTTTGAGAGAAAGAGAGAGAACTTCGACATCGAAATCGAGATTGTAGACAGTAGTGCTCACCTTAGTAGACGATGCAGATGGTGGTGGTGGTGGTGGTGGAGCTTCGAAATCGATAGAGAGAGAGAGAGAGAACTTCGAAATCGAAATCACCGAGCTAAAGAAGGTTGAATCGTATCTTCCAAATCGATATTGAAATCGATTCTGCTCTACGAAATCTATTTTGCTCTACGAAATCGCAATCACTCTGAGATTGGATCACGGAACTTCGATATCGAAATCACTTTAACGGTTTAGAGAGAGCGAGCGAGCGAGATTCATAAAGTGGTGTTTCTCAGATTTGAGTGAGTGAAAGTGAGAAGAAGGGCTTCTCAGATTAGAATGAGGGTTTGAAGAGGGAGAGAGAGCGCGTGAGAGTGGGACACATTCGAAGGCGTTTCCAAACGAGTTAAATGGTGCTGTTTTATTAAATTAAAATGTGGGATACATTTGAAGGCGTTTTTAAACAGGTTAAATGGTACTGTTTATTAAATTAAATTGCGACGTTTATAAAACGTCGTTAAATATTAGAAAATGTGGCATTTAAAAAAACGCCGTTAAAAAAGCGCCACTAAATCACACATTTCCTGTAGTGTCTCTCTCAACCTCTTATTTTTCCTTAAGCCTTCTTTTCTTCTTTCCTTTCCCACGGTTTTGCTCCCGTCAGATTTGACCACAATGCATATACATATAGATAATGAAGTTCTCTCTCTCTCTCTCTCTCTCTCTCTTTCTCTCGGGGCTGTGTTCTCCCAACACAAGATGAATACACAAAATGCACACTTACACTAAGTCTTTAATAATAAATAAATGAAGCCACCATTCATAATCTTTCTAGGACCTTCATAATTTACTCCATTTTATTTTATGATTAAGATTAGATTAATTACTAATTATTCATTAACTTAACTAATCACCCCTTAATTTTAATTAATCTAGTCATAATTTAATTAATCATAACTAACCACAAGTCTCACATAATTTAACTAGTCTAATTGACTTTAATTAAGGCCCAATTAAATATATTTAATTTTTACCATTCAGATTTTTAATCAACACCCGAAAGGTTTCAAATATTAAATTAAGATTATTATCATCATAAATTTTGATTTCCCAAATCATTTAGGCCTTCAATTTCTAATCAGACTCAAAATTTCCGTTAATAATTACATATTCAAATTGGAGAACCCCATGAATAAATTTAATTCATAATAACCACAATTCTCAGTCCTCATGACTTAATTAGCTCCAATTCGGACCTAATTAATAAAATATCAATTTTATAGATCTGAATCAAATATTTAATTAAGCTCCTATACGGTCCGATACTCAAAATTAAACTAATTCAATTCACCAATTATACTCTCTTGAGCCATGTTGAAGTTCAATTTCTAATTCCAAAATTAATCCTCAATAGAACCATATATAAATCAATCTCCATAATTTTCGTAAATCCCAGATTAAATTAAAATAATTGGCAATTAAATTTCAAATCTACTTAATTAATTAAGTACTAATAATTATACGTGGTGGGGTCGTCACAATAATAGATTCGCAAATAGGACATTTGTTCACATGATCAAAATAGCATTTCAGAAGTTATGACTTATCGATAGCAGTTAAAACACGAGTTATATCAATATATCTTTACAAAAATGTTACTCACAGTGGGCTTCCAAAACTAGTTGCTCGGTCTTCGAGTCTTGACCTACAATTACTAACATCATAGCATAATTTCTCAAGACACATTCGAATCATTCAGTTGATTCTTAACCTTATTCGATTATCCGCTACTCATTCGTTCAGTTACCTCCATGCTTTTTTGATTTTCTATCATGCTTATGAGATGCTTATGGATGTAAATTACACTTGAAAACCATGTAAATGAAGGCCCAGAAGTCAGAAAACGGAAAGGAAATAAAATCAAAAAAACTGCCCTGTTTGTTCGTACGTGCGGTGGCCTTGGCTGCACGAGCAGGTGAACTTCAGAATGCTATTTTGGCCAAAAAGGGATTGGCCGCTCGTACGGTGGCCCAGGCCGCACGAGCGGTCTGGGTTGAAACATAGTCCGAAAATCTGCTAAAAATGGACCTTCTCCTTTTTTGCAATCTCCACTTCTTTGTATACAAAATAAGGCTCAAAACTCTTGGAAACATATTGAAATAAACCTTATAACTTCAAATCAAAACTCAAGTCTCCATATACAAGATCAAACTCTTGACTTGAAATGTAAAATCATAACACATGCACTTTTGGGTCCCAAACTCAAAATCCATGGAGATTTCCTTTCAAATTAAAGAACCATGTAAAAAGTAAATATGTATGCACAAGAATTTCATGAACTCATAGTATGCCAAGATCTTGAGCTCTTTCTTACAATTCTCTCTTTGAACTCATGAGAGTTCTAAACAACAATTCACACTACTAAACTCCTTAACTTGCTAGATGGCAAGGGTAATACAGCATAGATTCATGAAATTAGAGGATAAATTTTACCTTGGATGGTTTAATTGGTGAAGATTTAGCTTAATCCCCTCTTGTTTTTCTTCTTCCTCTTGTTTCTCTCTTTCTTTAGATATTTTGAGCTCTTAATTGATAAGGATGAGCTGATATGAGCTCTTATCTCATTAATACATATCTAATTGCAAAATAATGAGCCAAACACAACTTAATGAATCAGACAAAATCAATTTTCAATTAAATTTCTCAAATAACTCTAAAAATTCCCATTAGCATATTCATGTACTCAATTTCGGTTTTTGAACCCATTAAAGGCGCCAATTGTACGGGGAGCAAATATTCGATACTGCCTGTACTCCTCGCGTCCAAGCTCCGCTTTGATCCGATTAACCTGCGAACACAACGGCGGTGAGCTACCCGGCGGTGTGTTGACGGAAAACCCCCACGACGGTCTAGTTAGCACACACTCAGATAAAGAGAGAGAGAGAGGAGAGGAGCAGATAGAGAGTTTCTCTCACCAAAATGATGTTCCATTCCCAGCATGGGGGGTGCAGTTATGCTTATATACTTTATGCGTTTACCTCTACATCCATTCGCTTATTGACACGTGGAGCTGCTCTCCTATCACGCTCTCCCATCTGTCAACGCAAATTCAGCCAAACACCACCTAATCAAACCGCCAAACAGCATTGGTGGGAACGAGCAGCCCGGCGGCATTATCCCGGCCTCCTACGACTGTGCTACCTAACGAGTTCAATAATGTCCCTTGCCAAGCTTCATCACAACCGAGCTCAGTAGCATTCCGGTATGACTGCACTCCAGCCAAGCTATGCCGGTCTGCGAAAGACCTTTTTCGTCAAGCTAAATATGTGAACAGTAAAGCCTAGGTTGACAAAAAAACCATCTCGGCTGAATGGGCCCTGGACTTCAACCGAGCAAACCAACCCAGGATCAGCCCAGGTTAGCTCGGCCCAAACATGCTCGGACCTCTTTCAGCTCAGCCTTTTCCACGGTCGCAGGTCCAATTAAGAATCTCCCTCTCAAGTAATACAACATAGATTCATGAAATTAGAGGATAAATCTTACCTTTGATGGTTCAATTGATGAAGATTTAGCTTAATCCCCTCTTGTTTTTCTTCTTCCTCTTGTTTCTCTCTTTCTTTAGATATTTTGAGCTCTTAATTGATAAGGATGAGCTAATAGGAGCTTTTATCTCATATATACATATCTAGTTGCAAAATAATGAACCAAACACAACTTAACGAATCAGACGAAATCAATTTTCAATTAAACTTCTCAAATAGCTCTAAAAATTCCCATTAGCATATTCATGTATTCAATTTCGGTTTTTGAACCCATTAAGATCATCAATTTAAGTTTCGAAGTCATAGCCCCAACAAATATTTTCCCAATTTAGACAGATATTTTCAAATTAAATCATATTAATTCTTAATTTCATAACAATCATCGTGACACGCATTTGAGGGTCATTAAAATCGTGATACGTCATTTTCTATCTTTCTTTCACGAAGCCATCTTTCTTTCATAATATTTTTTATATTTTTGTAATTAATTTTTATAAAATTTACTTATAAATTTTATATGAAGAAATATTGATCCATT